CAAGTGTAACTGACATGATGCATGTGTTGGGTAACTGGGATTTTTAAAAATATATTTTTATTGATTTCAGAGAGGAAGGAAGTGTGAGAGAGAGATAGAAACATCAATGATGAGAGAGAATCATCGATTGGCTGCCTCCTGCACGCCCCACACTGGGGATCGAATCCACCACCCAGGCATGTGCTCTGACTCGAAACCATGACCTCCTGGTTCATAGGTCCATGCTCAACCACTAAGCCACGCCGGCTGGGAAAAGTAACTGAGATTTTTAAAGGGCAGGTTAGCTATGTATCTCAGTGACCCTACCTGCCTCTACTTGAATCAGTCCCTGCATTCCTAGAGAGCGTCCACACTGCCGCAGCTCTTCATGAAGCACTCTGGGAATTCAGAAACCATGGTCCTTACCCACAAGGAATTTAACTGTTACTTGCAAAACAAAACTGAAGCACGTAATGACACACAAAAATAGACATTAGGTTATACGATTCGCTTCGCTTCACTGGAGATTGTGAATCACTCCTCTTTTGTTTATCTGCATTATTTTTAACAGTCAGCCCAGATCGCTGAGTATTAATTTCTGAAAGCCAGCTTCTTCCACGCGTGCTTAGAAAGCATTAAGACAATCATAATGAGGTGCATTTATCTTTCATTTCGTGAGAAGAGAGACTTTTCAGCCCAGACTGTTCCTTTAAGCCGGTGCTTTTCTTTTTCACATTGCTAAGTTTATATACCTAACTTCTGTTCTGGCATCTGTTTCTAACTACAAGTATGAATAGTCTAAATTGAAATTTCCATTTCCTCAGGAAGCATACTGCTTTTATTCAGATCAGGAATAACCTCCTTGTTGCCGAATCCAGTGGTTACATTTCAGTTAAACTTGTCTCTCTGTTAATTTTGATGGTATCAACCACTCACTCTCATCTTCTTAATACCCTTTTCTTCTCATTTGCTATAATGTTCATCTTTCCTTTTATTTTTTTTCCTGGCTCTATAATTGCCCCTTCTCAATCCTTTTTCTTGACTCTTGCTGGTCAGGGAACATACTTGGGTTTCAGATTTCATTCTCAGTAGGGGAGTGTGTGTGTGGGTGTGGGTGGGCGGGGGGTGGCGATGGGTGGCCAGTTGATATATCTCTCTCCTTCGCTCACTCTCTCTTTCTCTCTCTCCCTCTCCTCTCCTCTCCTCTCCTCTCCTCTCCTCTCCTCTCCTCTCTCTCCTTTCCTTTCTTTCCCTCAGCATATCCTCTGGTGAGGATTAAAAAAAGAAAATATATATATATTGGTATTCTCCAGTTTTTGTTCCCAATCCCAATGTATATCTATTAGCTTAGACCTCTTTCCTTAGCTTCTAACCTATGTTAAAAAACTTTTGGACATTTTTATAGAGATATGGTTGCAGGCCTTCCCTCTCCCCGCCCCCCAATATCCAGTCATTCACCTAGCCATATAGTGTGGCTAGGACCAGTTCTCCAAACCACCCTCTCCTCTGTAGCCCCACTCTTGTTGCCATCACTGCCAAAGGGTCCTTGTCCTGGACTCCACGCTTGAAAGTGTCCCACTCTGGTTTTCCTTTAGTTTTGCCATTCCCTATGAGCTGAGGAGTCTGTAGGGCCAAGGAAATGTGAAATGTGTGTGTGTCCCCTCACCCCTGCCCACCACTATCTAACTACACAGACCCCAGAAATCCCTGCAATGGGCCCCCTTCCCAAGTCTGTTCTTCCAAGAGTAGGCTGCATGCCTCGTGCGTGCTCCCTATGCCCAAGGGACAACTCTTTGAAGGGGATAGATGGCTCTTGGATGGAGCTGGTCATGTGCATACCTGTGAGGCCCCTGGTGCTATAGATCAGAGCCAGAGGTCAGAGGAGGAGGAGGACACACAGGGACCTCCACTGCTACTCTCATCAGAGGCCCACAGCATTAGGGGTAGGACTAATCATTGCCTTACTTTCCTTTATATTCCTGGTACAGGGCTTCAACTACTTTCAGCGATTCTTAAGGGCAGGGGCGTTACCTTATCAACTTTATGTTCCAGTATACATAGCCTATCACAATACCTACCCCAATATGCAGTGAATACTCAGTATGTTTGTTGAATGAGTTAACAACACAGCTTATAATGAATAATTTAAAATTATTCATCTTCTTCATTGTCATTGTAAAGTTTATAGATTTTATTATGTCTTATGGCCATCATTTTTCCAGAAAACATGCCTCTAATTTTGCATTACTATTTTATGGGAAACTATATTTTATATATAAAACTGAATTTTATTTTTAAATATAGTTTTACAAACAATTTATAAAATAGAGTTAGTTAATGGTAGGTAGCAGAAAATAGTGTCAGGCAAACATAAAGTTCTTGATAATACAAGATAGTGTTATATCATGGTTACCAGGACAACAGTGCTTATAGCCAGTTATATTAGTAACTACCAAGCCCTGAGGGGCTCTGGGATACTAGTGTGAGAAGGAGCAGGAAAACTTAAAGATGCTGGTAAGAATGGAATTGGGTTTCCTTGCCAGGTTTCCCATGAATTCAGAGAGTAACCCCAAGATCCTGTTCTACTGAGGTCCCAGTTCTACTGAGCTCATTTGTGAGGGGTGTGTCTGTGTGTGATGACTTTTAATACAAAATACACATAATTATTTAAATTTGAGTAATTTTAAAGTACAAAATCAGCATGTTTTAATTCAAGATGACTTTTCAGTTTGATAATACACACATGTTCTAGGTCAGTGATGGCAAACCTTTTGAGCTCGGCGTGTCAGCATTTTGAAAAACCCTAACTTAACTCTGGTACCGTGTCACATATAGGGGTTTTTTGATATTTGCAACCATAGTAAAACAAAGACTTATATTTTTGATATTTATTTTATATATTTAAATGCCATTTAACAAAGAAAAATCAACCAAAAAAATGAGTTCGCATGTCACCTCTGACACGCGTGTCATAGGTTCTCCAACACTGTTCTAGGTTCACCCCCACCACCACCACCACCACCACCACCAAGTTCAGTGACCTTAGAGATTGAATGCCCCTAGTATCATACCTGCTTTGGTTTCTACTTGAACACATGTACCACACTATAGTGAGGAATACTCTGATATGAGAATTGAGTAAACTGGATTTGGATGATCCTTACATTGTCGAAAGCTCACATGTTCTGACTCTTGGGTTTTCTATTTGGAAAATAGTCAATTGGAAAATAGTCATGATTCTGCAGAAGAGTGCCAAAATGTTAAGCCATGGCAATAACTTTAGTTTTAACCTTAACTTTGAGGATTCATACTGTTTTGTCATTTTTTTTGTTTGTTTTGTCTTTTTAATGGGTTGTTTCTTCCTTATTCTCCTTCTATTCTTAACATTTTTAGGACTAATAAAATGTACTTCTTCCACCCCTCCCCTTTCCTGATGAGACGAGTCTTTCAGGAACACCTTATTAAAAGTATTAAATATCAAAGCAGTTACCTGTATGAGCCATCCTGTGCTGTCTAATTGTTGCGCCATACGAGTCATGATTATGGGAGTCATGATTAAAACCACTTAGTGACATTGTTTCAAGAATATTTTTATGATGAAATTGCCGTGTGACAGCTTGGTATCCACTGACTTTTGGAGGAGGCATTCAATTTATAAACACTAAATTGTTTTTGTCATCTAGAAAATAGTTCCCCTTACACAAGAAGATTTTAAAATGTCTTTAGTTGCTTTAATTCAATAATGACATGTGAAACCATTTGCCTTCAAATAATTTTTCCAACATTTACAAAGATGTGAGCAGACCTAATTCACATATTTTACCTCCCACTCACTTATGCTTCTACATTAAGGCCCTACCTCTCTTTCATATACTTCTTTATTCTTTCTGCATTAAGAAACCTTTAAGTAAGTAACTTAAGGTGGTAATTCTTTATAAAGAGGATTTGACGCCCATATGGTGATTAAAAAACAAAACAAGCAACAACAAAAAAAGTAGTTATTATCATGTATATGTCACATATACTGTCCCTGCCCTTTCCTTTACCTTTAAGACAGAAAAAGTGGACTCATCTCCTTTTTAGATTTCTGGCTTCTTTTCTTCTTCAAGGCTATTCATGAATGTGAATGTGAATGTTGGGGATGGATAAAGAAATGTTGGGAAAGGGTTTGCTCAGCAAAGAACAGGATGAAGCATTGACTAGAATGCTGAGAAAAGGTGGGCAAGAGAACAAGTGGAATGGAAGCAAGAAACTATTCTTCACCAACCCTTACAAGTCATATGAGTCAGAGAACTAGAACCAGAAGGGACCTAGTGATCCTGTGATTACAGTCCCTTAACCTAACAGGTGCTTAGTACCTGCTTATGCAACTTAACCCCTCATTTTACGGGAGAAGAAAGGGAATCCCACAAAGGTACATTACCCAGTGCCATTCAGCTAGTTAGTTGCACATCACGTCATCTGATTCCTCCACTAATTCCTCTTCTATTATAAGGTACTGTGATAACTTTTTCTGTTTTTATAATTCTGTCGCTTGGTACAGAGTAGGCATGAAATGTGGAGCTCATTAAATAACTGTTTCATTTGTAGGGCTGGTAGCACTTGCTAGGTCTCTTTATGAGTATGGGTTTTGGAGTGAGACTTAAATCTCAGCTTTGCCTGTTAGCACGTGGGCAAGTTTCTTATTCTTTCTACGTGAAGCTCTCACATCTCAATAAATGGGGATAATAATAGCTCCCACATAGTGTTATAACAAATGAAACAAGATTGTTTGGAAGTCTTTAGTTTGGTGTGTTGCACAAATCATAGGCTTCAGTAAATGTTTGTGAAATGAATAAGGGATAACTATTACTGTATTTAACCTTCCTCAGAGAGAGTCAATATTCTTTACCCTTCAGGTGTGGGATATTATTTACAGATATGTATTCTTATTGCCCTAGTTAACTGCTGTTTGGCTACTGTCTTGTCTAGAAAATGCCTGCTTTACCTACCTCACAGCCTTTTAATTTGTTTAATTCTAGACTAATCCATGGAGGACAGCTTTTAAATGGATTGGCAGGCCCAACCGTAATGAATGCAGCTCCGTTCCTGTCCACAACGTGGTTTTCTGCAGATGAACGCGCCACTGCCACAGCTATCGCGTCCATGCTCAGTTATCTCGGTGGAGCATGTGCATTTTTAGTTGGACCGCTTTTTGTTCCAGCTCCCAATGGCACGTCGCCTCTTCTTGCATCCGAGAATAGCAGGGCCCACATTAAAGACCGTATAGAGACTGTACTATATGCAGGTATTTTGAAGTTTATTTTCTTCCTGTTATATTTTGTCTTTTATCCCAATCATCTTCACTCTGCTTTTGTGTAACAGATCACTTATGAAATACTTAAGAGGGCTAATATATACATATGCATATATGTGCTTTTTTTGTTTTGTAATAATACTAGAGGCCTGGTGCACGACATTCGTGCGCTGGGGGGGGAGGTTCCCTCAGCCCGGTCTGCACCCTCTCACAGTCCAGGACCCCTCAGGGGATGTCTGCCTGCTTGCTTAGGAGTGCTGCCTTGGAGGCGGGAACTGCACGTAACTTGGTATGTCTACAGTAGATTCAGTATTTGTGTTTAGGTGTCGATAGCAAGTGGCAGAAAATGAGACTGGAAAGGTAAGGGACCAGATTATAATAAACTTGAATTAATTTATTCACTTAATTTGACAGCTATATTTTGAATTCCTATATATCTGTCACTGTGCTAGGCACTGAGGTAAACATGGTTCATCTTCTCATAGAACTTATAGTGTCCCAAAGGATACAAGCAGGAAAGCAAACAGTTGTTAAAGAGGGTAGTAAGTACTATCTCCAAAGGCCTACACTTGTTCTAAGAGCTGAGAAGTGGAACACCTAACCCAGATTATGGAGGTCAAGTAGATGCTTCCCAGAGATATAGCATCTAAGTTGGAACCTGAGAGATGGCAGAGAGTTAGCCAAGTACAATGGGCAGGAGGAAGAATATACCAGAGAGAGAGAACCAGAGAGAGAAGCCCAGTAAGGGGAGAGAGAGTGCTACATTCAAGCAACTTAAAGCCCAGAGTGGCTTAGGTGTGGTGAGAGTAGATGAAGCTAGAGAGGTAAGCCAGGCCCTGTAAGCCTTGTAAACAGGACAGAAGGGTTTGAAATTCACCACGTTTTCAGCAGTGGTAATACTCTGAAGAATTTTATGCTAGAGAATTACATGGTGAGATTTACATTTCAAAATATGGTTTGAAGGGAATAAAAGTGAAAGCAGAAATAGTGGCAGCATATAAAGCATTTAACCCACCTTACTCCTATTAAAGAAAAAAATTTGAATTGTAAAATTAAATAAGTAAATAAAACACAAAGCAGGTGAAACAAATTTTAAACTTCATTTCAGTTCTATCATTCTTTTCATTGAAAATGTAAGCAATGATTATATCTTCAAATGATTTGATTTTAGGCACTTTGGGTATAGCAGATAACCTACTCAAAGCTTCCAAGTTATTTCTTCATTGCTTTTATATTTTCCAATCTGCCTTCCTGAAATATCCCAAAACCTTCATTCCATTAAAAATAATTGCTAGAATTGCTACCTTAAAACATTAATGACTCTTACACTGAATTATTCCAGAAAAACACATCATAAATGAAATATAGACTAATAGACCAATATCTCTTAGGTATATAGAGCCATAGTCCTGAAAAAAATACTAGCAAACGAAATCCAGCAACATACACAAAGGATTATATACCATGACCAAATAGGATTTATTTCTGGAATGCAAGGTTGTTTGAACATTCAAAACTCAACTAATGTAATATGCCATATCAGTAGAATAAAGGAGCAAAACCATGTGATCATCTTAAAAGATGAGGAAAAAAAAGCATTTGACAGATCTAACACTTTCAAGATAAAAACACTCAACAAATCAGAAATAGATACAGGAGCTCTCTCAACCTAATAAAGGGCCTGTATGAAAAACCCATAAATAAGATCATAGTTATTGGTCAAAGACTGAATGCATTTACCCGGAGATCAGGAACAAGATAAGTATGTCCACTCTTGCTATGTCTACTTAACATTGTATTGGAAGTTCTAACCAGAATCACTGAGAAAATGAAATAAAAGGCATTTTAGATCAGAAAGGAAAAAACAAAGCTATCTCTTTTGAAAATGATCTTGAATGAAGAAAATCCTCTGTAATCCATTAAAAACACATTAATCTAAAAAACAAGTTCAGTAAGAATGAACAAGTTTATTCTAAAAAAAAGTTTTAGGATGCAAGATTACTATATATAAAGATCAATTGTATTTCTGTACATTAGCAATGAATAATCCAAACATGAAATTAGGAAAACAATGCAATATACAATAGCCTCAAAAGAATAAAATATTTATGAACAAGTTTAACAAAATAAGGTAAAACTTTCACTCTGAAAGACTACAGAACACTGTTGGAAAAAATTAAAGAAGACCTAAAGAAATGGAAAGAGAACCCATGTGAAAATTTAGTGTTGTGAAGATGCTAATATCCCCAAATTTATTTATAAATTCAGTGCAAGCCCAAATAATATTTGGCTGCCTTTGTTGCAGAAACTGACAAGCTGATTCTAAAGTTTATATGGAAATTCAAGGGACTTAGAATAGCCAAAACAATCTTGAAAAAGAACAAAGTTGGAGAACTCACACTTCCCAATTTCAAGTTACTACAAAGCTATGCCAATCAAAACAGGATTGTACTGGCATAAGGATAAACATATAAGTCAATGGAACAGAAGTAAGATTCCAAAAAATAAACTACTGCATAATTTATGTGCAATTGACTTTTCACAAGGGTGCCAAGACAATTCAATGGGGGAAAGAAAAGTCTTTTCAATGAACAGTACTAGAATAACTGGATATCCACATGCAAAAGAATACATTTGATCCCCTTCCTTACACCATACACAAATGAACTCAAAATGGATCATGGACTTAAAATGTGAGAGCTAAAACAATTAACTTATATAAGACGAGATAGGAGTAAATCTTCATGTCCTTGGGTTAGGCAAAGCCTTTTTTAAAGGATACCAAAAACACAAATGACAAAAGAACAAAATATGTAAATTGGATTTCATCGAAGTTAAAACTTTTGTGCTTCAAAGAACACCTTCTACAAACTGAGAAGACAATCCATAAAATGGAAGAAAATAGTTTCAAATTACATATCTGAAAAGGAACTTTTAACCAGAATATATTTTTTAAAACTTACAATTCAACAACAGAAAGTTAACCCAATTAAAAAATGGGCAAAGGACTGAATAGACATTTCTCTAAAGAAAATATATAAATGGCCAACAAGCACCTGAAAAAAAAACTCACTTTCATTAGTCATTGGGAAAATGCAAATGAAAGCGATAATGAGATAAATTTTACACCCAATAGGGTGGCTTTAATCAATCAAATTGAAAATAAGTGTTGGTGAGAAAGTGGGGAAATTATACATTGGAACCCTTATACATTGCTAGTCCTATATAATAAAAGGCTAATATGCAAATCAACCAAACAGCAGAACGACTGGTCACTATGATGCACACTGACTACCAGGCGGCAGATGCTCAATGAAGGAGCTGCCCCCTGGTGGTCAGTGCACTCCCACGGGGGAGTGCCACTCAGCCAGTAGCCAGGCTCAAGGCTGGCGAGCACAGCAGTGGTAGTGGGAACCATTCCTGCCTCCGAGGCAGTGCTAAGCTGTCAGTCGGACATCCCCTAAGGGATCCTGGACTGCGAGAGGGCACAGGTCGGGCAGAGGGACCACCTCCCCTCCCCCGAGTGCACAAATTTTGTGCACCAGGCTTCTAATAGAAATATAAAATGCCACTTTGGAAACATTTTGGCAATTCCTCAAAATGTTAAACAGAAATTGCCATATGACCCAGCAATTTCATTTCTAGGTATATACCCAAGTGAGATGAAAACACATCTGTGCAAGAAATTGTACATGAATGTTCATAGTAGTGTTATTCATGATGACCTAAATGTAGAAACAGTCCAAAATGTCTGTCAATTACATGGATTAAGAATGTGGTATATCTACTCAGTGGAATATTACTTGGCAAAAAGATAATAACGTATTGATATATGCTCCAACATGGATGAACCCTGAAAACATGCCAGTGAAAGAAGCCAGTCACAAAAGCCCCCAAATTATATGATTTTGTTTATAAGAAATGTCCATAATACTCATCCATAGATAATGAAAGTAGATTAATGGTAACCTAGGCCTGGGATATTTGTGCAGGTAATGAATACAGTTTCTTTTTTGGGATGATGAAAAAGTTCTAAAATTGATTAAGGTAATGGTTGCACAATTGTGAATATACTAAAAAACATTTAATTGTGCACTTTAAAAGTGCAGGTCTCTGGAGGGAATAATCGGGATAGCTAGGAACCTTCCCTCCTGTGATAATGCCAAACTAAGATTGTTGCAATATTCATTTTAATTCTGATTGTTTAATATTCTGCAGTAGCTAGTCATGTTTATATTTGTATATTATGTGAATTATATCTCAAGCTGTTTACAAAAATGCCAGAAGAAAGATGGGCAAAGAATATGAACAAGGTAACCATAGTAGAAGAAATACAAGTGGCCAGTAAGCATATAGAAGACTAGAGGCCCGATGCATGAAATTCATGCAAGAGTAGGCCTTCACAGCCATGGTGGCTGCCTAGTTCCCTCCCTCGCAGCCATGGTGCCGCAGTGGCCTGGATCCTTGATCCTGGTCTAATTAGCAATTATGCTTTTATTATTATAGCTGCTCATTCATTGTTACTAATAAATAAAAACTGTAAATTAAGACAATTCATTAACTTTAGTTGCTTCTCAGATTGACAAAGAATAAAGATACTATCTGTGGCTAAGTGTCATAGAATGTTGTATTTTTTGCAAAGAATATAGCCTTAGAATTAGAATTATCCTACTGAAAGATCCCTGGAAATCACTTAACCCAAACCCTTTATTGGCCCAGAAAGAGTAAGTGATTCATTCAAATTCCAAGTTAATTGATAGCATAGACAGGTATATACTTTAAGGCTTCCAGACATTTCTACTAAATTAAGCACAGCTAACAAAAGGTGGGACTTCTAGGAGACAAATCTCTGTAGGGAATAATCGGGATAGCTAGGAACCTTTCCTCCTGTGATAATGCCACACTAAGATTGTTGCAATATTCATTTTAATTCTGATTGTTTAATATTCTGCAGTAGCTAGTCTTGTGTTTATAAATTTTACTTTCTGTCTCTTGATTTCTTATTTTGTATGCTTTCCTGTTCTGTTCAAATTTCCCATATAGCCTGTAAATTGAGTCTGTCCTACATCAGAATATCATATCATTGATCAACCAAACCTCCTGATCTCTTCTTACATATTTTCTCATATTTTTTATTTATGAGGACCATGCATATTAGACAACCATCCCAGACCTGCTTCAAAATCTCTTACAGTTCAATACTGTGGGTTTCTTTTTCATTGTATCTATATTTTTATGTGACATATTCAGAAAAGGCAAAGCCACTGGGGTAGAAAATAGATTAGCAGTTTTCACAAGCTGGGGAGGATGAGGGTGGGGAGTGGAGTCACTGCTAATGGGAAAGGTGGTATTTTGGGGGGATGAGGAAAATGTTTGCTGTTGTTGTTGACACTATTACAGATGTTCCCCCTTCCTCCCTCTTTGCCCCCCTCTACCCAACCCTCCTCCTTTTTCTCCATAGAGCAACCTTTGCTTACTGCCTCAATCTTTTTGTCTGTATAGTGCACCATAGTACCACCATACTTCATTGCTTACAGAAGGACTTCTTACCTATGACCTGCTGAAATGTTTATCTTGACATACTATGTTTCTCGCAAGACTGAGCTATTTTGGTTAGGTACTATATTTCGCCTATTTTCATATGCCTAGTGCTTAGTTGATGCTCAATAAATATCTGTTAGATAAGTAATAGTTGAAATGTTGAACTGTTTGTGTCATCTGGTTAACATTTTATTTTTTATTTTTTTATTTTTTTCAGAATTTGGAGTGGTCTGCTTAATATTTTCTGCAACTCTTGCTTATTTCCCACCCCGGCCTCCCCTTCCTCCCAGTGTTGCTGCAGCTAGCCAACGACTGAGTTATCGGCGGAGCTTTTGTAGATTATTAAGGTAAATGTACTTAGAATTACTGAGTGGTTTTGACTAACACCTTTAAAAAGAATTTCACATTTATTTAAGATAATTTAAAATAGTAATTTTTCAGCAATCTATTAATCAGGTTGTAAATAATTGATAAAAAATGGATTAAATACTTTAATGGGACTTTCTATCAGAAATCTATCTTAAAAAGTTGCCCAAAACAAAAACCTCCATAATTTTTCCCTTCTCTATCTCTATTGTTATTTATTTAACATTTTAAAAATTAAATCTTTAAGTGATTTCTTTTATAAGGAGCCATATCACAAAATAGTATCTGTGAAATCATGGATTTTATGTGTTTATTATATTTTTCCTATTATGTAAATTCTTTTTCTTCATTTTGTATTTCTTTTTTTAAAAAATATATTTTTATTAATTTCAGAGAGGAAGGGACAAGGAGAGAGAGAGAGAAACAGCAACCTGGCATGTGACTTCCTGGTTCATAGGTTGACGCTCAATCATTGAGCCACACCAGTTGGGCCATTTTGTATTTCTCCATGCACATTAAAATAAAAAGTGAATAAAATAAATAGTGCTTATTTATATGCCTCTAGTAGGATCATACTTTGAGAAATTTAACATTTTATTTTATTGGTATAATTTAACTGTAATTAGATTAAATTCTGCCCTTGAAGGCTCAAATGCTATAGTACTGAACTCGATTCTTTGGATATATAGACCATCACTGGTGATTATGATTTGTAGTTGGACCATTAGAACTTATCTTTTGAATTTTCCCCCCAGTTTGTTATAATAACTTTTTAGTGATTCATTAGCAACTCTCTCTGGTTGGTTCTTTCTTTTCTAGTCCTCCTCTCCCACCAGATGGTAAGACCCTGTGGTCAAAAACTATGTCTTTTTGTCCACAGTAATATTACCTAATTCTATATAATAAAAGGCTAATATGCAAATTGTCCCCTCGGGAATTCGACCGGCCAGGAGTTCTACCGCTCGCTATGATGTGTGCTGACCACCAGGGGGCGACATGGAACAAAGGAAGGCCCTGGCCGGCAGCCAGCAGCCAGGGGAAGGAAGGCCCCGGCAGGCCCTGATCGCCGGCCAGGCCTACGGACCCTACCCTCACGAATTTTGTGCACCGGGCCTCTAGCAGGATTATAATATGAGCCACATAATAGGTAATTTAAAATTTTCTAGTAGTTGCATTTAAAAAGATTAAAATAAATAGGTAAAAATTAATTTTAGTAGCATATTTTACTTAAGCCAGTATATCTAAAATATTATTTTAACATGTAATCCATATTAAAAAATATTAGTTAAGTATTTTATATTCTTTTATTCATACAAAATCTTTGGAATTTGGTGTATATTTTACTTACAGCATATCTCAATCCAGATGCTAGATTTTCATTAGAAATACTTGGTCTGCATTTAAATTTTGATATATTAACAATTGAGCAGTGTCTCCCATATTGCACTATTTTATCTAAAGTTAAAAATACGCACCTGCAATTTTTCAAGCTTGGAATCATTACATCTGTGATATTATTTTAAAGGTCTTATATTCTACAGACAATTGTTTGGGTCTTAATTGAAGATCTTTCACTTCACTTTCGTGGAAACGTCTTATAAAATTCATTGTGTATTTTTTGAACATGTCTCTTAATATTATCCACTTAATTATCTTAAAATTTGTTTTACACAACAGACATCATTTTGTTCTGCTGCAGCAAGTTGCAATAGCTATTCATTACGAAATTTGCAACGTATTTTATTCCAGTCTCATATTTTTCTCTATAAAACATTTAGATAAGCAAATTACAATGTTATTATGTAAAAAATATTTAGAATTGAGTTAGTTCACTGACACTAAGAAGGTCAGGGACAGGCTATAATACTAGAAGCAACACATACTACAACATGCACACTACAATATCTTACCCAGTGCAGCAGTTAAAGTGAATTGTAGTTCTACCAAAAAAAAAAAAAGTTGCATTTAAAATTAGTTCTAAAGTTGCACTAGCCACATTTCAAGTGTTTAATAGCCACATCTGGCTTGTGACTACCATGTTAGCATAGCTATGTAACATGATTTTTCAAGTTTGGTTCACAGCCAACTAATGAAAGAAGGTTGACCATCTTTATTTTTTAAAAAAAAAATAGAATTAAATAGAATAATATTATTGAATCATTTATAGTAATGATACATATCTTTTGTGAGAGTTTCAGTCTATCTATATGTACATATCTATGGGTAGGTCACAAAGTAAAGATATGTTTCTTACTCTGGAGCACTGTAAAAGGTTTTTGAAAACCCATCTCTACAGCACCTCATACATTGCCTTCCACATAATAGGCAACAAAAAATATTAGTTAAATTGAATTATTGTCAGTGGACACATTTATAAGATGACAATTAAAATGATAGGCTTTTTGGAAGTAAAATGCTATTTAAGTTTTTCTTTATGCCAAGCCAAAGATCAGATAGCAATAGATAAGGCTAGAGAGGTAGATTAGGGTCATATTATGCCATAATAGTAATTTTGGACTATTCTGTGGGAAATGAGGGGTCATTGAAGGATTGATTTTAATGAAAGAAGTTACATAAAAGATTGTTCTGAGAAGGGAAAACAACTTAAAATTATCACTCTGACTACCCTCTGTTTGCTTCTAATTGCCCCAGAGTCAAGATCTTTATTTTCTGTGTAAACCATGAAATGTAAGATCTTTTTTCTTTATTTAAAAAAAATCATTTTCATTTATGCTTAACATTCCTTTGTCTCTCCCATATTCAACTGTTTACTCTGCAGAATTGCTTGCTTCTACTTTTGGCTCGCCACAGTCAGTACATACAGAGCTTCCTCAGGGGAGTTCTTTGGGCCTGCCATGCTGTATTCCCCTAACCTACCAATATAATTTAAATTTTCTCCAGTCTTTCAAAGAAACCCTGGTTACTTTGTTATTTCCTGGATTCATTGGAATAATTGTGTGTGTTTTTTCTAGACTAATTGCATTATCTGGGGTAGGTGGTGAGGGGAAGCGATGGTTATGTGCTAAGGTTTCCACCACAATTTTTTTTGTACGATTCATACCATTCCCATCTCTTAATATGCATTTAAACTGTAACGTAATATAAACACTTCTCTCCCTTTATGTGTTGGTTTAATGCAGTGGTTCTCAACCTTCTGGCCCTTTAAATATAGTTCCTCATGTTGTGACCCAACCATAAAATTATTTTCGTTGCTACTTCATAACTGTAATGTTGCTACTGTTATGAATCATAATGTAAATATCTGATATGCAGGATGGTCTTAGGTGACCCCTGTGAAAGGGTCAGTCAACCGCCAAAGGGGTCGCGACCCACAGGTTGAGAACCGCTGGTTTAATGTTTGATGACAATGGTGGTTGTTTTTGCCTTTCAAACTTCAAGGGTGGAGAGTTGAGTTGAACATGTTTTTTACTTCAGGACAGATGGACACATTTACTCATTTATTTACTTGTTCATTCTTTTATTTATATTTCCCACTTTCATTCCTCTCCCCTTCCCTTGCCCAGGCCACCTTTCAAATGCATTTAATGTTTATCTGTGTATCTCATTCTTTTTTACTCTTTTCACTAAACATGGTAAGATGGTTTTTTAAAAAAAATAACTTCATTTGGGGAATTTATAGAAATATCCAAAGGTAGAATAGTTCAACTTCCATGTCCCCATTACCCAATATCAACAGTTGCCTATTTATAGCTAATATTATTTCAGCTCTACTTTACCTACTTCCCCCATTCCTGTATCATTAAGCAAATCCCAGATGACAAGTCATTTCATCCATAAATATTTCAATATGTGTAATATATGTTAAAAAGATAGGGACACTTTAACATATAGTACCATTATCACACCTAAAATCTTTAAAAAAATAGTTTACTAATATTACATCATAGTTTATATTTCCAGTTGTCATAAATGTCATAACATTTTTTTAACAATTTGTTTGAATCAGGACCCAAATTAGGTTCACATACTGCATTTGGCTCAAATCCATTACAATCTGTAGGTTTCCTTTCCTCTCTCTCTCACCCTTGTAATTTATTTATTGAGGAGCCAACTCTTTTGTCTCCAGGGTCTAGGTTTTGAGGATTGCTTCCTTATGGTGTAATTTGCCATGTTTCTCTGTTCTTTGTATTTCCTGTAAATTGTAGTCAGAGCTATGTTCTAACTCAAGGTTTTGCTTTTGCTTTGGTTTTGGTTTTACAAGACTACTTCATAAATGATGCTTCCTTCTTCTAACAGGAAGGGCAAAGGAATAAAATTATGTTATATATACATATACAAAAATAGCAAACTACATATTATATAAAATGTAAAGTTATATGTCTATATTACAGTATGGAGCTGGATAAATAAATTATGATATACCAACATAATGGAATACTACGCAGCTATGAGAAAGAATGAGGAAGCTCTGTATGTATTGACTATGGAAGAGCTTTAAGACTTAAATTGAAAAAGTAAAATTCAGCAAATGGTTGTACTATGCTATCATTTACGTAAAAAGATTGGGGGGAAATATATATTTTGTATGTTTTGTAATATTTCTGGGAAGTTACCAAAGAAAGTGATAATATTGAGAATTGTGGGAAGAGGGGAAGAGGGAATAGAGGGAGATATTTTCCCTAAATTTTTTTCCCTGTTTGGTTGTGAGCCATTTGAATTGTATTGCCTAGTAAATAATTATCTAAAAAATAATAGTAAAACAAATGATAATAATAAAACAAAAATTAAAATGACTTTCTGAAAACGGTAAAACTAGCAAATTATATATTTGTTTTTAATCTTTTTTTCTAACTTGTTCGAGGAGAAAGTATAATTTTTTTAACATTTGAATTGTTTATTTTTCAACTACAGTTGACATATTATTATATTAGTTTCAGGCATACAACATAGTGATTAGACATTTATATAACTTATAAAGTGATCACCTGATAAGTCCAGTACCCACCTAAGCAACAGTAATTTATCCTTTCAAATAGAGCTTTTTTTAAACTGAACCTATCTACGTCATTCTATGAAATAATGTTGGTAATTCATTGATGTAATAAACATTGACAATTTTAAACAATATGAACAAAAAAGACTATTCTTATCAAAATAAAAAATTTAAAGAACTTTGATTTTATTAACAAACTGACAATTATTTTTTATTTCTGATTCTGATGTTCAAATTTTCAAATGACTGTTTTCATGAGTAAGTTTAAATTCTAGAGTTTGAATCTGCAATAATATTTTTCACTTCTCTTTCACAGCAATGTGAGATTTTTGATGATTGCTTTAGCATATGCCATACCGCTCGGTGTATTTGCTGGCTGGTCTGGAGTTCTGGACTTAATTTTAACACCAGTGCATGTCAGCCAAGTAAGCATTTTATCTTTATATTTGAAGGTATTTTTAGTTCATTTAAATGATAACTGTTGTCTACATGTTCTTGGTTTTAGCTTCAAGGCCTGGATAAAACAATAGTCCATACCATTATTGCAAAAGCAAGGTTCATGTGAAATACTTATAAACAATATTTATTTTCTTCCTGGAAAAAGCCATGAATTTCACATTTATTTGGGTGTTATTAATGATGCTACTAAACAGAAAAATAAAGAAGGAAAATCTTAGTTTTGTTGACTCTATCCTTTACATTCTTGCTTTATGCTTTATGAAGATTAAGATCCCATCATCAAATATATGGCTATTCCTACATCTAATTTCTCACTTTCTCTCTAGTCTCAGGATAAGGATATCTCATGTATTTAAAAGTAGCCATTTCTTTGGTGGTGTGGGGTCCTCACCAAGTGAGATATGTGCTGCACATGTAAAGGGCAAAGCTACCAGAGGTTTTAACAGAGAGACTGTTACAGGGTTGAAAGCAGAACAAATACAGTAGAGGGTGAGCAATACTGGGCTCTCAGAGTTCGGGCCCTGCCAGAGTGGAGAGACCTCATTAACATCTTGGGCTTCTGCTGAGACACCAGGAAGGCCAAACTTTAAAATGTAGGACTCTGCCCGAGAGAGAGTAAGACCTAGCTTACTTAAACCCAGAAACGAAGCCTAAAACCAGGCACCAACGAAAATCTGCAGAGGAGGCAATTGAGTCCTCTCACCTTGGTTTCTACTTCTCTGCTATAATGAAGCACAAAATCAAGCCTACCCAAGTGCAAAGTGATCATTTAGTAGCTGAACTGAAAGAGTTCAGAATCTTTATATTGTATTTTCCATGACATATACTTTACAATTAAAAAAAAAAGAAACCACACCAAAACATTAGACATACAAAGAAACAGGAAAATGTGACCCATATTTTAAAAATAAAAGTAAAAAGAAAAGTAGTCAGTAGAAGCCAGCTTGGAGATAGCCCTGATGTTGGATCTAGCAGACAGAGACTGTAACATAAAAGAGAGAGAGAAATCTTTGCTCCAAGTTCATAAACATATTCCCCTTGTTAATCTCATAGAACTGAAAGTATAGTAGCCACTAGCAACATGTGCCTTTTAAATTTAAATCAGTTGAAATGAAATAAAAATTAAAAATTCACTTCTTCAGTGATACTTTTCAAGTGCTTAATAGCCACTTGTAACTTGTGGCTACCATATTGACAGTGCAGATATATTACATTTTCATCATCATGGAAAGTTCTATTGGACATTGCTGTTCTAGAAGCTTTATCGTTATGCCTGTCATATTTAAACCTAGAATGGAATTTTGTGCTTGTTATAGTTAGGAGTTTATTTTCCCCCAATATAAATAAATATCCATTAACCTAATGTCAGTCTTTGAAAACATCATGCTTTCCCGTTGTCTCTAGTGTCATCTTTGTCATAATGAAGTGCCCTTGTGTGCATGAATGTGTTTCTAAATCATTTTTCCCCTCTATCCTTGATGCCATCCATTCCTTCCTCTTGTATACAGTTTTTGTGTCATCTTTAGTCTATGTGTGTCAACCTCTAGTCTATTTGTCTGTCTTTGTGCCAATACCAAATTGTCTGAAGTATTCTCATATTACAAGTTTTGGTATCTGGTAGAATAATACTCTATTTTATTCAGATTTTGATGAAATAATTTTGAATCACTAGATCAGCTGGAGAATTAACTTTTTTATAATACTGAGTCTTCCAAGCTGTGATCATTGTATTTCTCTTCATTTACTTAGGCCGTAATGTCTCTGAATGATGCTTTATAATTTTCTGCAAAGATGTCATCTGTATATTTGTTAGATTTATTCCCCGGTATTTTATATTTTTGAAGCTGTTGTAATTGGTAATTTCAAAAATTACCAGGAGGCCACAGTTCGATTCCCGGTTAGGGAACATACCTGGGTTGTGGGCTCCATCACCAGGGTGGGGAGTGCAGGAGGCAGCCTATCAATGATTCTCTCTCAACCACTGAGCCATGATGGCTGGGCTATGCTAAATTTTTTCTAATTTCACCTTGAGGAACTCTAACTATATATGTTATACCTTCATATTGTATTCCCTACGTCTCTTACTCTCGATTCTGAGTTTTTTATCCGTTTGTATTCCTTTGCTTCAGACTGGATATTTTATCTAGCCTTTCTTCCAAATCCAATTTTAGTTTTCAGTCTAATATGCTACACAACTTATCTAAAGGTTACCGATTTCAATTATATTTTTAAGTTATAAAATTTGGGTACTTTTTTGTAGTTTCCAATTTTCTGTAAAATGCTTGAGCTTATCTTTTATTTTTTAAACTTTAAAAATAGTTATTTAAAGTCTGCATCTCATAATTCCCTTTTCTGGATCCCCTGTGGGTATTTTTATATTTGTGGTATTCATTGATGTTTTCTAATCTCCTTACATGTTCTACTATTTTTGACTGAGTGCTAGACATAGTAGCATTATGAAAAGTTGTAGAGATATTTTAAGCTCCAAGATGATGTTATTTTTGTCCAAAAAGAACTTATATTTTTCTTGCAGGAGTCTAGAGATCATTTAATCTAGTTCCAGAAATAGGGATTATTTATAGCTGGGCTTCAGTCCCTCAAAATATAGTTTTCAGGTCACAGTACTCTTAAGTATAGTCCTTCAGAGCCCCCAAGTAAAGCCTGGGATTTTTCACAAGGCCACTCACCCCACAATAAGCCTCAAATTCATTTTCCCCCCCTTATGTCAATGAGGCTGTTGATAACGTCTCAGCCCCTTAGCCACTTTTTCTAAAATCAGCAGACACCCCACCCCTAAGGGAAAAGTGTCACCAAGTACCAGGTGTATCTGAGTTTCCTTCCCATTCTACATAATAATAAAAGCATAATATGCTAGTTGGACTGGATAGCCGAACCATCTCCTGGACATCATTCCGGACGTCCTTCCAGACGAAGCCACAGTGGCGGGGGCCAAGCCAGAGTGGTTAGGGGTGATCAGGCAGGCAGGCAGAGGCAGTTAGGGGTGAGCAGGCAGGCAGGCAGAGGCAGTTAGGGGTGAGCAGGCAGGAAGGCTAGTGGTTGGGGTGATCAGTCAAGCAGGCAAGTGGTTAGGAGCAATCAGGCAGGCAGGGGAGTGGTTAGGGGCAATCAGGCAGACAGGTGAGTGGGTAGGGGGGATGAGGCAGGCAGGCAGAGGCGGGTAGGGCTAATCAGGCAGGCAGGGGAGTGGTTAGGGGCAATCAGGCAGACAGGTGAGTGGGTAGGGGGGATGAGGCAGGCAGGCAGAGGCGGGTAGGGCTAATCAGGCAGGCAGGGGAGTGGTTAGGGGCAATCAGGCAGACAGGTGAGTGGGTAGGGGGGATGAGGCAGGCAGGCAGAGGCGGGTAGGGCTAATCAGGCAGGCAGGTAAGTGGTAAGGGGCGATCAGGCAGGCAGAAGGTTAGGGGTGATCAGGCAGGCAGGCAAATGCAGTTAAGGGCGATCAGGCAGGCAGGCAAAGGCAGTTAAGGGTCATCAGGCAGGCAGGCGAGTGGTTAGGGGCATGAGGCAGGCAGGTGCGTGGTTAGGGGCAATCAGGCTACAACTGGCTGGAGGAGGGAATCCTGGGTCCCAGGTGCAGGGCGAGGCAGAGGAAGTTAGGGGCAATCAGGCCAGCAGGGGAGCAGTTAGAGGCGATCAGGCCGGTAGGGGAGCAGTAGGGCCGATCAGGCAGGTACAGGTGAGTGGTTAGGGGCAATCATGCAGGCAGTCAGAGGTGGTTAGGGGTGATCAGGCAGGCAGGTGAGTGGTTAGGGGCAATCATGCAGGCAGTCAGAGGTAGTTAGGGGTGATCAGGCAGGCAGGCAGGTGTGTGGTTAGGAGCCAGCAGTCCCAGATTGTGAGAGGGATGAACCGGGCCTCTAGTGTTTCCATAATTATGTATTACCTTCTTGGCTGTCTGATGCCATCAGATAGATTTCCTAGTTCTCAACCAGAATATTAATCCAGATTACTTAGTATACCTTCACCATAAGAAGTAAGCCTTAATTTCCTAACCTGTTTTCTGGATGGCAGGTATTTCAAGCATGTTCACTTTCAAGAAGGAAAAGTGTAGCACTCATTTAAATGATTCTCATTCTGCAAATCCTTTTTCATTTTTATCTTCACTAGGGGATATTTTTCCATTGAGTTGTAGAGAGTGGAAGGGAGGGGTAGAGACAGAGAGAAACTTCGATGTGAAAGAGACAGATGGATTGGTTGCCTCCTGCACATACCCCAACTAGGCAGGGAGGGTGAGTGTCCTTGACCAGGAATTGATCCTGCAACCCTTCAGGGCTGACATTCTAAATATTGAGCCAAACAGGCAAGGACTGATTTTGCAACATCTTATGCTTCATCTTATAAATCCTTCCAAGTATCTGCCTCTGTACAAACTCTGAGAGGTATAGAGACCATAAATCACACCAGGTATTAAGTAAAGCGAAATTTAAAATTAAATGAAAGCAACAGATCAAAACAAATAAAATATTTTAATTATTGTGTAGAATGTTATTAAATAAAGCAATTATCATGAGCAAAGGAAGCAGAAAAGCACAAAAGCCTGACAGGACCAGGGTCAGTATGGTCAGAAGCATGGTGGTTCTTGCCCTGGTACAGGACCCCACTCGCCTAGGGGACAGATGGAAATGTTAGTGGGAGCCTGATAGCATTATCTGGGCCTTAGATGATGGATGCAATGAGAGGGGCAATTCTGCAGAACAGAGAATTCTCTTGCTCCAAAAACCAATAGTATAAAAAAATATAGAGAGATAATTTAAGCTTCAGGGTGTGCTCTTTTTTCCAGAGAGAGTTTATCTTTCTTTTGGCACCAAACACTGGCACAACAAAGGACTTGTGTAAAAGTATTGTATTACTTGGAGCAGAATCCCAAAATTCTGAGACTTAAGAAATCCATTTGTCATTCGCATAGCAATCTAGGACAGCTTGCCTGGTAATGTAGGACAGTTGTCTACAGTTTGGACAGGTCTTTTTCTCACTCTTATTTAGAGACCTGGGTTGCTTCCACTTTGCAGCTCTTTGTCTCCTAAGACCTTGTCTTTATAGTCATGGGTGAAGCTGGGTGACCACATCTGGATTCCAGCTGGCAGAAGGGAAAGAAAGCATGGAGGAGGCATATAACTGTGTTCCAGGTTCTAGCCCAGAGATGGCACACCTCAGTCTGGCCACTTCCATTAATGAGAACTTAGTCACGTGGTCACATGGAAATGAATGGGGGTTGGGACGTGTAATCTAGCCAAATGCCCAGGCAGAAGAAGATAATATGTTTTGGTGGACAGCTGAACATTCCTGACACAGGTGTAATGAAAAATATGACTAGAAAAAATAAAAAGGTCGAAGTTAGTATGGGCAGCTCTCAAATGCCGGTTAGATTTGGACTTCTCCCAGTAGCCACAAGGAAAGCCAGGAACTGTTTCTGAAAAGTGAAGTGGAATGATCGGGATAATTGTTCTGGCAGGATGTGAGGAACAGATTGTGGAGACCATTCCAGATGCTATTACGGGAGTCTAGAGTAGGAAATAAGATAAGCAAGGGTGGTGGACGTGGGAAAGGGAAAGATTAGACTCACTGCATCTGTATTGTTAGGGACACAAGGATTTCAGTGTAACAACAACTAACATGTACCAAGCACTTTACATTTATTAGCTTATTTAATTCTCAAAAAAAAATTATTTATCATTCCCACCTAATAGTGAGAAAGCTGAAACTTAGAGTGTGAGTTGAGACAGAAGCCAAGTCATAATAAGAGTTAAAGATACAGGCATGATGAGCAAATAAAGGCAGCATTTGTAGATTGCTCTGAATAAGTTTGTCCCTGAAGGTAGGAAAGCGATTAAGACATCAGGTAGATGGAGAAGCATCATCAGGTAATGATGACAGCTCTAACCTTCACTGAGCATTTCCTCTGTGCCAACCACTTATCTAAGACCTATACATAAATTATCTCATTTAGTCTATTTTATAGGTAAGAAGATGTAATAACATTTTTCCCAGGGTCACAGAGCTAGTACATGGCAGGGCGAGAAATGTTTTCTCAAGGACTGACTGAGCTATACAATTGAAACTCAGCTCAAATTCTCTTGCTCTATTCAGTCTCCCCAGGTGCTCAACCCTCAAACCTATATTGTCCCCCCCCGTTTTGTGTTCTGTTAAATACATTTTTAGTTGTTGCTAGGTGTTTAACACTCAATTATTTCCTAGTAGTTGCCTTTGTGTTGGCTATTTTTAAAAATATATATTTTATTGATTTTTTACAGAGAGAAAGGGAGAGGGATAGAGAGTTAGAAACGTCGATGAGAGAGAAACATTGATCAGCTGCTTCCTGCATACCCCCGAATGGGGATGTGCCCTCAACCAAGGTACATGCCCTTAACTGGAATCGAACCTGGGACCCTTTAGTCTGCATGCTGATGCTCTATCCACTGAGCCAAACTTGTTAGGGCATGTTGGCTATTTTTAAACTTTTTTTCTGTCAGTGACCATCTTTTGTCCTTTTCCTGTTTTCTTAAGAGTTCCTATTATAAAGCTAGGCATGTAGAATATATTTTTAAAAATTTGTTGTGGCATTAATTATATGGTGCGACACTGAAGTTAATGGAAGACATATTTACTGAGATACATTTGTATTACTTAGTCACACATAAATCCTTTCATTTGATTCATTTTCTTAAGTGGCATTTCCTAGATTTGTTGTTATGTAGCTATTAATATTGATTAAAGAGGAGTTTTTTCAAGCCTCCTAAACTGCAACATGATAATCTTATGTTTAATGTGTCTGCCATTTTCTTAACAGGTAGATGCTGGCTGGATTGGATTTTGGTCCATAGTTGGGGGCTGTGTTGTTGGAATAGCTATGGCAAGGTAAGAACAGTTTATGTTAAACATGTAAGTAGCCAGAAACAAACAAAAAGCCCAAAGAAATAATCAGCTCCCCTAAATAAAAATTAAAATTTAAGGGAAAGTAGCTGAAACCGGTTTGGCTCGGTGGATAGAGCGTCGGCCTGCGGACTGAAAGGTCCCAGGTTCGATTCCGGTCAAGGGCATGTACCTGGGTTGCGGGCACATACCCAGTGGGAGATGTGCGGGAGGCAGCTGATCGATGTTTCTCTCTCATCGATATTTCTGGCTCTCTATCTCTCTCCCTTCCTCTCTGTAAAAAATCAATAAAATATATTTAAAAAAAAAAAAATTTAAGGGAAAGTAAATAGGCAAAGGTCAGAGAAGGGGGCTACAAGAAAATCGACATACAGTAGGGAGGATGTGCTGCTAGAAGAAACCTCAAGAGAGGTCCATCCTGAAATGTTTTTGTAGACTGGAGATGTATTTCCAGTGTAACTGAGCTGCCTCTTTCCATATTTTTAGAGAACAACATCTACAGATGGAACTCAAAGAAAGGTGATAGTGTAATAGAGGCAAATTGATAGTTATCGAGAATAGAAAAGAATTGAAAAAAGTCATTTGTAAGAGCATGTCTAGAAATTTCCATGAAAAAGTACTGTCCTGATTAGCATACATTGACTTTTGGGTTTTTTTTGGCATGTATCTCAATGGTTATTCTATTTTGATTAAAAATGTTCATAAAGACTTCCAGTTTCATCAAACTGCCTATGATCTTAACACATTATGACAACACTTTTTTTAATATATTTTATTGATTTTTTACAGAGAGGAAGGGAGCGAGATAGAGAGCTAGAAATATCGATGAGAGAGAAACACCTATCAGCTGCCTCCTGCACACCTCCCACCGGGGATGTGCTCTCAACCAAGGCACATGCCCCTGACCGGATCGAACCTGGGACCCCTCAGTCCACAGGCCGACGCTCTCTCCACTGAGCCTAACCAGTAACGGTGACAACACATTTTTAGAATGAGTCAAGAGAGGGAAAAAGTTTCATTTATTCTAAAAAAGGAAAGAATGACAGTGTCACTCATGTATGTGACTGCCTATAAAGCTACTCTTGGTCTTTCCAAAGAGATGATATTCATTCATTTCCCAAATAATTTTACCCTATTTAATCAGAAACAAAATTAGGCAATCAACTTTACCAGGAAAGGAAGAATTTAATTACATATTTGGGGAGGTAAATAAGATGGGTAAATTACCTCAATATCTAAACACTTAAGCATAATTGACACAGGATAATATTATATCTAAATCTTTTGTTTGTTTGTTAATCCTCACTGGAGGAGATTTTTCCATTCATTATTAGAGAGAGTGGAAAAGAGAGGGAAAGACAGAAAAAAACATGGATGTGAGAGAAACACATCGATTGGTTGCCTCCTGCATGAACCCCAACCAGGGCCCAGGCTAACGAGGAGCCTACAACCAAAGTATGTGCCCTTGACCAGAATTGAACCTGGAACCCTTTGGTCTGCAGGCTGGTGGTCTATCCACTGAGCCAAACTGGCTAATGCGATCTAGATCTTAAAGTTTGCCAAGTGTTTCTTGGATAATGAAAGAATAAATTGACACTAATTTCTAAATCACTTTATGAGGTTTTTATAAGTTAAGAAAATATAAGAATAAAATCTAAAAGATATTTATTTGTAGCAAATCACTACATTGATACTGGAATGTATTGACTTATCACATTTGACAAAAATCATACCTAATTATTCTAATTAAAATCTCCAAGCCAATTAGAGTGAGTCATCATTTACCAAATTCTATTCTGAGCACCAAATAGATTAGAGGAAACCATTATCAAAAATGACATCTCACATTCTCCTTTCTCTTCATTTTCTTTCCATAAACCTTTCATTTTAATTCTATAGAAATAGAACTAGAGGAGAACATTAGAATGAGAACAGTTTGTTTTTAATATGTTGAAATGGAAGTTCTATAAAGTACTACCCTTACTCTGGGATCTGAAATCAATTATAGGTATCTCCTAGACCTTAAATAAATTTGAAAATTACATTTATAACACCAGTTTTTGGGACCCCTAGATTGTAGTCCCTTTGTAGACATGAGTGCTTTGGGTGATTATTTTATGATTATCTTGGCAAAGGCCACTATAAATGTACTACTTTGGTCCTAGCAGTATACTTATAGTATTAGCCCATTTGAAAGGTCTAGGCCTCCAAAAAAAAGCAGATCCCAGTGGTCAGTTTATTCTTGGGTCATCTGGCCCTACGAAACTGTCTCCCAGTTCACCTTCACTCAGCTCTGCTTGTACCAGAAAACTCTTCTATTCTCTCAGACCTGGCCACCTGCCTATCTGACAAGTATGTTCAGGAAGCATACCAAAAATATATACCAGAAATGTGTGATTTTTAGATTTTCTTGAGGGACATTTCTATGAAGCTGTGGAACCTTTTTTAGAAGGTTCCACAGCTTCAAGATCAAAATTTTCTGTCTGTGAACTTTCATAGTTGAGAACAAACCTGTCACTGGGCAAAGGTGCAGTCATTTTTCCTACCAAAAGATGGCATCAGCTCTCAGAGGAAGTCATTTTAGTCTAGATAATGCTCACAAACATGATTAACCATATCATGCCAAGTAAGTGCAATACAAAAGATAGTATTGAAAGTATGTTGATAGGGACAGACACATAATTACAACAGAAACTAAATTTATTTTTAAAGCTTCAAAGAGAAAACGTGGTAAATGCCAGATTTGGGATGGGATCTGTTTTTCTGCAATGGAAACAATTCTGAAGGACAGAGAAAGTTGTATGTTGGCTCAGCCAGAGGATTGTGCCTGTACAGTCAACAGTTAATCAGCAGATGAGGAAAAGCAATTAACAAATGGAAAAGGTTTTGGTCATAACTAAATGGTAAGCATCTCTACCAGATGCCTTTTAGTTTCACGTTAATTCCGAGGGAAAAGCAGGGATTTTAAGAACTTAAAATGCTAGGAAACAGTAGTCACAAGGTTTAAAAAATAGTATTCACTGTTCCAGAGCCATGTTCTTGCTCTCACAAAGCTTATAGTCTGATAGGAAAGACAGAAAACAAATGCAAAAACAGGAGGAATTACAATAGAGGTAAATGATATGAAGAAAATAAAGAAGTGGCAAGGCTCTTAAATGAGCCTTGTTGAACTGACACCTGAATGACCTGAGGAAGAAGCAGGAGTAACTCATGTGAAGCACCGGGCTACCAGCATTCCCGGCAGACAGGACAGGTCACTGCTGGGGAAACAGTGTTGCATGTATGAGAAACAGAATCAGGGCTGTCCAGCTGGAGCATAGTAAAGCAAAGGGAGGGTGGAGGCAGAGACCAGGTCACATAGGACCACAAAGCATTAGGATTGGTTCTCAGAGTCTGAATTTCAGGAGAGCCATCTCTGCAAGTTTATGTCAATGATTAGACTGTTTTCTAAAACTAGAACAATATGTACTCATTAGAGGATATTTAGCAATTATAGAAAAAATATAAAGAAAGTAAAAGAGGTATTGAAACGCTCAGAATCCATCCTGTAAGTTATAGATCCTGAACAGAGATCACCTTTTGTGTGTTTTGTAAGAGAAAAAAATCATTTATCACAAAGTGACATCACTTATGTACACACACACAATGGGTCAGTTAAAAAAATTTAAAACTTGCTTTTAAAAGAATGTATGGAAATTTCTTTAAGAAATTATCTATCTTCTTCTATATATGTAAAAGGCTAGTATGTAAAGTGTCCCGTCCAGAGTTTGACTAGGAGACTGGGAGTTCAATCCCTCGCTATGATGTGCGCTGACCACCAGGGGGCAGCACAGAATGAAGGAAGGCCCTAACCAGCAGCCGGCAGCCATGGGAAGGAAGGCCCCAGCTGAAGGAAGGCCCCGATTGGCCCTGTTCTCAGACCAGTCCAAGGGACCCTACCTGTGCACGAATTTCATGCAGTGGGCCTCTAGTCCTTAACACTCTCAGTCAACAGTGACTGACACTATACTTTCTGTCCCAAAGACAAAAAAGGCTGGGTGCTTAACATGTTAAATCAAAGTGTATCATTGATTTAAACAGTATTTTTAAAATTCAGCTAGGATTAATAGACTGTTGTTTCTTTTTTTAGGTTTGCAGATTTTATCAGGGGTATGCTGAAATTAATTCTTCTCCTCCTGTTTTCTGGGGCTACACTATCATCCACGTGGTTCACCCTCACCTGTTTGAACAGCATCACACACCTGCCTTTAACCACAGGTAAACAATGACTTTTGAACTTTGAATAAATATTTTTAGTTCATAGAAGTATGTATATTTTGACAGTAGGACTTTTTCTTGCTTTCTATAAGTAATTGTTAAATATGCAAAAAGGTCCCTTGCCAGCCATCAAACCATTATTCCATCTAAAAAAAGCTCAATAAATAATTAAAAATATAATATTTCACTGGTATTTTACATATGAAAAAGAAGTATTATATTTAACCCAAGCTACATAACATAGTTATATGCTTTTAACATTCATATCAGTGCATAATACAAAGATTTTTATCTTCTTTATAGCCATTACATCATTGTAGAACAGTAAAGAAAATGAACAAAGGCAAAAAGCTATGATGTTTGTAGTACACTTTAGTAAAATCCTTTGACCCAGCAACAATATTTTATATTTAGTATAATTACATCATCAATACAAAACAAAACTTACTGGAAATATCTGTTGAAAGTATATTAGAGGCAGCTTACTTAGCTCATCCAATTGACCTGAAACATTTATAGTTGTTTTTATTGTTGTTATTAGTATCATTGGGGGTCTGTATTAGTTTTCTGTGGCTGTTGTAATAAGTTACCGCAAAGGTAGTGGCTTAGACCAACACAAATTTATCTTACATTTCTGTATGTTGGAAGTCCAGCTTGGATCTCCCTAAGGCATAGGCTAAAATGAAAGTGTGGGCCTACTTGGGAAGAAGTATTTCCTTGTCTTTTCTATCGCATTCCTCGGCTTGTGGCTCCCTTCCTTCATCTTTAAAGCCCAGGACAGCCTGTTATAGCCTCCTCACATTGTATCATCTGTGCCTCTCTTCCAAAGCCACATCTTCCTCTGAACTCTCACCTTCGGTCTCCCTCTTTCACTTTTAAGGATCCTTGTGATTGCATTGAGCCCATCCAGATAACCTAGGATAGTCTCCCAATTTTAAAGTCAGCTGATTAGTAAACTTCATTCCAAAGATAACATGTTCATGGATTCCAGGGATTAAGACATAAATATATTTTGGGTTAGGATTAGGGGGACATTGTTCTGCCTACCACAGGATCTTTGTAAAATTACTGTGACAGCCCAGCCAATGCGGCTCCATGGTTGAGCTTTAACTTATGACCTTCAACCAAAGGTCACAGTTTGATTCCTAGTAAGGACACATGCCCAGGTTGAGGGCTCGATCCCTAGTGGGGGTATGCAGGAGGCAGCTGATCAGTGATTCTCTCTCATCATTGATGTTTCTATCTCTCCCTTCCCTTCCTCTCTGAATTAAAACATTTTTAAAAATTACTATGACAAATTATTTTATAAATCAAGGGATTCTGTTCCTTTTCTTTTCACTTTAACAAAAGATTAAGATTCATACACTAGTCTTTCTTATCCATGGGGGATATGTTTCAAGACCCCCAAGGAATGCCTGAAAGTCCAGAGAGTACCAAACCCTAAACATACTATGTTTTTTTCCTATACGTAAGTACCTTTTCACTTAAAGAATGCTCTTTATGGCTTCTGTTTGGCATATTCTAATTGCCAGCATCTTTTGTGCTTTTGGACCATTGTTAAGTAAAATAAGGGTTACTGGCACAATCCCTGAGCTACCATGACAGTTGATCTGATAACAGAGACTACTCAGTGAGTACCAGGCAGGTAGCATATACATTGTATGCATCGTGGATGTGTGGACAATGATGATTCATGTCCCAACCTGGGTGGAGTTTGGGAAGGTGACAGTAAGAGATTTCATCACCCTACTCAGAAAAGTGTGCAATTTAAAACTTACAAATTACTTATATCTGGAATTTTCATTTAATATTTTCAGACTAAAGTTGAGCTCGGGTAACTAAAACTGCAGAAAGCAAACCCACAGATAAGGGGGGACTACCATATTTTTTTTTACTTCATTTGCAATTAATATTCAGCCACCTGCTGGATTAAATAATTCTAGGATTATTTGCTGTGAAAGTAGATTGTAGGATTATAGGGTTATTTGTTATACCAAGCACTTACATGGGTAGGAGTGAATAGTCTGAAAGTGGCTCTGTAGCCACCTATTATCCATGAGAGGAGGGTTCCTTGTCTACAGATAATTAAGGAATACTACACATCCCAATTTGGACTTATACTGTCTGTAATAAAAGGACCAACACTTGAGATGTAAGGGGGAGGGGGGCAAGTCCACTCATTTATTTGGGAGTTCCTACACTTTCATGGTAATAATAGGGCAACAGAACACAGTTGTCCTATAGCCATGATTACCAAACTGTGCCGAGCGAGCTGCCCTGGAGTACCACAGCAAACTCATAAGGCAACACAGCTATTTTAAATTTCCAAAGGAAACGGATATTCCACATCTGCCAGACACGGTGCGAGCCTCTAGTTCCAGGCAGTTTCCACTTTCAGCATGGATCCTGCTACGTTATTTTTGATGATGTCTTGGCAAAGTTAGGTTTTCTGCAGTTGCTGTGATAAAAAGCAAATACTGCCAAAAATCAATGTGGAACAGGGAATGAGAGTGGTGGTGTCAATCTGATTCTAAGATCTGAGAAGTTGTACAGTGCCCATCAGATGCACACATCCCATTAGTAGGTAACTGTGGTTATTTAAGAATGAAATAAAAACGTATTTATTTCAATATTTGGGTATTATTTTTTAAAATAACTACTAAACTGTTAGGACATATATATTTTTTAAATTGTTTGGCTCTAACTATGTAATTAACACAATTGTTAGCTGTTTCTCTTGGCTTTGGAGCACCATGAAAAATTTACTGAGACAGAACGGCTGCTGAGAGGGCAGGTTTGAAACCTCTGCTCTATACCACCCTGGGAATCCTCTGTAATGTTTATCGCTTTGCCCAGTGTCCAGAGTAATCATTTTTGGATATTACGTACTTTTTATACATTAACATTCCTACTTTAGAGTTTTGAGCAATTTGGGAAAGTATTCTGGGCCATAATTTTATTTTATTCTGGTATAATTTCATAGTTTAGTAGTTGTACAACATTCTGGTGGAACAGTTTTGGTTTATAACTTTTCTTATTCATGGCATTATGCTCAGATTTTTGTGTGATACTGTATGTCAAGTATGCATCTGTTAGATTTTACAAGAACATGGTCATGAGTACCCAACGAACAGATTTCTTTCCCTTGAATTAAGTGTAAAATACTCATTATAAGATAGTACATTCATTAAATTATATGTATTTTCTAATTAACATAAATTAACAGTTTTATCTCTAGATGGAGGCACTAGAAATGAATTTAACTTTTTACCTCCTTTTTTTGGTTTGGGATTTATATAATGAACATACTTTTATAATCAGGAAAAAAAAGTATATATTTGAAAACAATACATCTTTTTTAATCTTAAAAGAAAATTGATGTAACTGAACCTGGTCACAACTGTTTTCCCAATTTGTCCCTGAAAATATGTTGGACAGAAAGGAAAAACATAATTCTAAATTAAATCAAGACCATAATTGAAAGGTTGAATTTGACTTAGCCATCTTAACAACTACTGAATTTATAAATTCTACTGTTGTTTTCAACTGCAAGTCCGTTTTTGAATGTCACTTAGATACTCCTGAAAGATGCATTTTAAATATTTTTTACATTTATATTTTATACATACACTGGGTTAAGGACTAGATTTGTTCACAGTCCTTCTCTTGATTGTAGTATATATTTTTTGTCTTTCCTGATACCACTTAATAGTTACTTGAGTGTATGTTTCATCTCCTCTAAAAATGTGGAGCATGAACTTGTGCCTTATAAATTCTGACCTCAACTCCCACCACAGTACCTACCACAAGCCCTGAGGAATGAATGAATGAATGAATGAATGAGTGAATGAATGAATGCAATGTATATATTATCTCCATTTTGATTCTCAGTAGATATGATTTATTGCAAGTAGTAGTCAGCAATCATGCCCACTCTTTGTTATTCAGCACTAGCTGTAGGAAGGCAAAAGGGCACATTTTAATGGAACAGTGGAGCATTTGAATAAATCTGTCACAGATCCTCTTACCGCCTTTGTAAAAATCTGATCTCATTCCTCTTAAGTAAAAGAGGTTTCACGAAAAGGAACTTACTATAAAACCTAATTATAGACAAAGTTAGACCTTGGAGCTATTTAAAGTCAGTAATGGCAAATTCATGTTTCTTTTTTTTACCACAGTCATTCTTTTTTTAATCAGGAAAATATCTAGCCTTATTCCCCATTTCTAGCAAACTTAGTATGTCTGTTACTGCTTTTTCTATATGAGAAGAATCTACATGAAAAGCACTTGAAAATATATTCATTAATTATAACAGTTGACATAATAAATTAAAAGCTAGTTAATTTTGTTCAACCCATGTGTTGTAAGTGCTAACTACTATTAAAAACCTTCTATTGCAATCATTTTGTAATCCACTGATCTTGACATTATTGTGCCATACAGAAGAAAACTGGATCATTTCAGTTGTGTAAAGGCATACTGTTTTGCTATACGTACTTGCTTACACACATCTTGTAGGCTACCAGCAATATGCTTTTATTTCCTTAAGGAAACTTAATTTTTAAAATTGCATTATATCTTTATAAATTGAAGCATCTACAATAGGGAAAATAAATAAACTCTTGACTAGGTAATGCAAGTTTCAAAATCTTGAAGCTATGCCATGAACAAAATTATGAAAATACATTATTCACCTTATCTGAGAACTTGATGCCTAGCCCCGTTAGCCACAACTCAGTCATTTTTCACAGAACAGATGAATAGTTTGAAAATGGCATTTTGAAAAATGTTAGCACTTTGGTGTTGAGTTTGCTGAAACAATATAATTTGGGTATTTAACAGAAGTTGCCTTGGGAGACATTTTCCCTCTAATTCAAGTTACTAGAATGCCATGATGGTGACATCAGAAACAGATAGTGGGAGGGGAATAAAGGGGATAATTAGCTAGACATGAGCCCCTTGAGAGTGATACCTGACTACAAGCTGACTTCAAGTGATAT